CGGACTGGAACTTCGTCATTCCCCCCACCTTTGCCCGCGGAGGGAGTCCCGGCGGCGGCGGGGAAGGCGCGGCTCCTGGTGCTCCGAGAGCCCGAGGCGGCGGCGAGTGGCCCTCGGCCCTTCCGCAACGCGCCCCCCGGCGGTCTGGCTCCGCGCCGGCCGCCGCCGCAGCACGCGGGGTCCCGGACAGCGGCGGGCGGGCGGGCGGGCGGCCGGATCCCCCTACCGCCCTTCTCTTCACCCCGCCCGCAAGGAATTTCACTGCACTCCACACCCCAAAGTGACCACACTCTATTATAATGCAGAATTTATTAAACAAGCACACTGAAAACAATAAACACACTAAAAGCAAGCATACTAATGTGAATTAGGTAAATATCTCTATTGAATGAGTATAATAAGACCAGAGATATATGAGTACTGGAGAAAGTTAGCAATGCATCAGATCATTACTGCATAGAAAGAACAGAGATGAAGAAGAAATACAGCGTAGGGCAGCCCCGAGCGCTCCTGCGCGCCCCTGTGGAAGCCGCGGTTGCCGACGGGTCCATTTTCAGCAGCACGCACGGGAGCTGCGTGAGCATCCTCCTCTGCCCCCAGCTCTCACCAGAAAGACCTGAAGGGACATGAGGGCTGCACGTTTCAATACAACACATTTGTCACCAGCAAGGGCAACCTTGATTCCAATGGGTGCCAGTGCTGGGCTGTCCCCCTGAGAGCTCAGGAGGAGCCTGTGATGCCCTTACTAGCTGTAAGGAGCAAAGCTTGCTCTGCCTGCGTTAAAACCCAGTCCAGTTCTGAGCACAGATTTCCCCTAAATCTCAGGTGCGGCGCTTGGCAGCTGCTGAGATCAGAAACCTGGTGGTTTGCACTCGGTTTGTTATTTTCCGTGGGCGTTCCCTGTGTGCCCCTGCTACCTCTCTGGGAAGTACGCTGAAAGTGTGGCTGCAAGAGCTCTCTAAGACTCGATGTGGACTTTTAGCAAGCGGGCATTCTTTACCGCAGCGCTGGCCGCAAGGGGCCACCCTGCACATCCCCGCTGCCGAGTGTTGTGGGGGCGACCACGACGTGGCCCCTGCTCAGTCCTGAGGAGCAGGGCGGGCTTTGGCCGCCCCACCAGCCCTCTCCCTCTCCGGCGAGGTGAGGCCGTGCAGACAGCCCTGCCCTCCTCAGCTGGGCTGCAGGGTCCGCACGGCAGGGCCGTGGCACGGGAGATGCTCAGGGGAACCGTGTTCTTGTGCGGTCCCTGGCATCGTCCGTGCCATGGTGCCTGCCCGGCAGGACACAGCAGGGCTCTGGAAGCTGCAGGCACAGAGGCGAGGGTGGGCTAAGGACAGGGGTGGCCCAGGGAGGCTGGCTGTCAGGGGCACGGGTGGCACAGGGCTGTCAGTAGAAGGCGGCTGGAACGGCGGGGCCGGTGGAACAGGGCCACGAGCTGTAGAACGCGGCGACTGCCGAGGTCCCTGGGCGCGGCTCCCGCAGCGCGTGCCGGGCCGGTGGCCGTTGCAGAGGAGACGGAGAGCGATGGCGCTGCCGGGCCGGTGGCGCTGCCCTCGGCGCTGGCCGTCGGCGCTGCCAGTGGCGCTGTTGGTGGCGGTCACCAGCCTGCTGCAGGGATCGCTGCTGGGAGCGGCGCTGGGCTTGGGGGGTGCCTGGTGGGCGCTGCGGTCCCGCCCGCCCGCCAGGCGCCTTCTGCCCCTGCGCTCTCCCCCACGGTGGCTGCCCCCCAGGCCCTGTCCCCCACTGCGGCTGCCCCCGTACAGGCCCAGAGCCAGCCTGATCGCCCGCTTTCCCACCGCCTGGGACGTGATGGCTTGGCGCCTGCGGAGGAAAATGGCCAGTACCAGCGGGCCGGCCACTGTGATCGGCCGAGGTGTGAGCACCTCGACCCGCGGCAACTGCCTTGGGTGAGCGAGGGAGTAGGATGTGCGTGGGATAAGGACACGGGTGGCCCAGGGAAACGGGTGGGATGAGGACACGGGTGGCAGTAGGACACTCCTTGTCAGGGGCACAGGGACCCTGGGTGTCAGGGATGAAGGTGGCAGGGGGACACGGGTGGGATACAGAGACAGGTGGCACAGGGACATAGGTTGTGAGGGCTGCAGGTGGCACAGGGCACGGGTGAGAGGAGGACACGGGTGGCCTAGCGATGGCCATAGTGCTGCCCTTGGCGCTGCCCTGCGTGGTGCTGCAGGGATCGCTGCTGGGAGCAGGGGCTCCTGGTGTGCAATGCGACCCTACCAGCCCGCATCGCTCCTGTCTTCGTGTGGCCCGCACGGCAAAACGGCCTCTACAGTGGCCCAACCGCAGACACCATCCGTGCTGAGAGACCCCGTCGCGCTGCTACTGCTTCTGGTGAGCTTGGGAGGAGGATGGGATCGGATCTTCCTGCCACTAACAGTGCTGTGACCATTGTGCCCCAGCAGAGCTCCACCGCAGACCGTGCGCCACCGGCACCCGCTCCCGCAGGACCAGAGCCCTGAGGCCATTTCCGCCCGGGTACGCCAGGACAGTCAGATGCCCAGGGGCTCCCCGTGGGCCCAACGCCCAGCAGCGCTCCGCAGCCCACGGCCCAGCGCTCTTTTCCTGTCCCCACTTTGCCCTGGCCGGTCTGCAGGGGGGACACATCCAGGGGAAAGGAAAGGGCAAAATCCCTTTGCTGTGCTGGCACCTTTCCAGCTGGAGGCAGCAGCACGTGTGGGAGCCCTGCGTTCCCACTTTGACACGGGTCTCCTCAGCACCTGCTGAGCTGTACTAAAACACTGCTCACATCCTGGGCTGGGCTTGCAGATGTGAGAGTGGGATGTAGTCGTGGCTAATGGAGCTCTGCAGCTGTGCAGGGAAAGGTTTTACCCAGGGTGGGTCAGTAGGGAAGGGTTTGCTCTGAGGTCACTTGCCTCAGAGCCTGGAGGCCGCTTGCTCCCAGAGTGAATTCAGTTTGGGGTGCTCAGACTTTGCCCTCCATGGACATTGCGGAGGGGTGTTGAGCAGCGTTGAAGTAAGAGAGGTTCCGGGCTCGGCAGCCAGCACCAGGGAGATGGGATTTACTCTGTGGTGAGCAGGAGGAAGGGAGGCTGTGCTCCCCTGAACCAAATGAGTTACTCCTGGTCTCTTTGCACATTCCAATAGAAGAGGATGTGCGTGAGGGAGACCCTGGAGTCCGGCGCTGGATCCTACCGGGAGGTGCCACATCGGACGGGAAGGTAATGTAGCGCTCAGCCAGCCAGTGCCTGCTTGTCAATGCCAGCCAGGAAGAAAGCAGTCACCTTCCCAGCTGACCCGGTGCCCAAGGCCTGCTCTCCACCAGAGCCGGGCTATTCCAGGCCCGTGAGACATGGCTGCTGGGTCACCCAGCGGTGGGGAAGCCCCTTTGTTGTGTCCATCAGCATCCCCGCTGCCTCGTTCCACTGCCGTGCTGGCGGCAGCGCTGAGCGGCACCATCCCCGCCCTGCCCCAGGCCGGGTTGGAGCTTGAAGGGCTCAGACGGCTGCAGCGGTGACGTTGCCGTGTGGCACTGGCATGTCCTGTCCCAGCCTGGCGCTGACCCTGACTGGCTCTCTCCCACTCGCACAGGGAACGGGAATCGCGGCGACGGGAAGAGAGCACCCCGGGGACAGCGAACAAGGCCGTGCAGACCAAGGAAGGTGAGTGTAGGTGGGGCCCAGCTCTGTGCCGGATTGGATGGGCCACCGATGCGGGCCTGCTCCGATGCCAGGCGGAGCTCATGCCAACACTTCCTCAGCTGAAAGAGAGAGGAAACCGCGCGTGCCCATTGCGGAGAGGGCCCCGTGGCACAGCGCGCGATGTGGCCACGTGCGGCACCTTGTGTGGTTTGTGGTTCGGGAGGGCGGCGTGCAAGGAGCGTCCGTGGTGGTGGGAAGGGGCCGCTGGCCCGTGGAGCCCCAGCAGGCTCTTGTGAGAGCTTCCCCACGGATCTCTTGTGGCCAAGCTGCTGCCCCGGGGCATCGCAGCCCTGTGCTCAGCTTAAGGCCGTGTCCCTGGCTCTGCCCTCCGGGATGGGCATCCAGAGAGCAGTGAGAAGGGACAACCCCCTTGGTGCAGGCCAAACGCCTCTGCTGGGAGCTGCTCCTGACTTGTCTCCTCCTGTAGCTGTCGAGAGGACTGAGGAAGAGCGGCAGCAGTCCCCGAGCCCACCACCTTCGCTGGGGAAAGGAAGACCACGCAGGAGGAGCATCTGCCTGCTGGTGCCTGGCGAGATCCACCCACTGGTGCTGGTAGGTCGCTGTCTCGCAGCCTCTTTTGCCCTCCTCTGGGCTAGAATGTGCTCAGTGCAGTTCCTGCAGGGCGGGGGGCAGGCTGACGTGCCTGCCTTGGGGCAGGAGGTCTCGGCCTTGGCTGGGTGGGAAGTGAGGCTCTCCCCTGCCCCAGTGTGTGGTGACCGTGCGTGACTGCTGCCGCTGCTGGCGCAGGTACTGGCCTGGGCAAGGTTGCCGTGGCCTCAGCCCCAAGCCGATGCCAAAATGAATGGGGTCCAGAGCTCTGCGCGGGCTGTGGCAGAACCACGGCTTCATGGCTCTGGCGCAGGCCTGCTTCCACACCTCCTTCAGAGCGGCTCTGCCGGCTGCCCTGAGAAGGAACTAAGCTACTGCTCTCTCTTGGCAGTTCCCGGAGCTTAACCCACAATACTCCGGCACCGGGATGACCCTGGAGGAGGAGGGGGAGGCAGCGTGGCAGCTGTCTCGATGGCTCTTGGGACTTAAGGCTGGTAAGGGCAGACTGGGAACGCGAAGGGCACGGCAAGGGGGAGAAAGCCATGGCCTGGGCTGGCAGGGCAGCGGGAAGCTGCTGGGCCAGTGCCGCCTGGTCCTCGGCTCTGATGCTCTTAGAGACTCGTGAAGAGCCCGGAGGGAGACCTCGTGTCCTGCAGTCCCCAGGGTGATGGGCGAGGTTGCCCAGGGCCGGAGCTGCGAGCTGTTCATACTGGGAGGGTTTCATAAGGGGTAGTCCTATGCGGCAGAGCCCTGCCGTGCAAAGGGAAGGTGCTTCCATCACTCGCTGCCCCAGTCCCCAGCCCTGCGGGGTGGAGGGGAATCTGAAATGCCGCTCCTTGCCCTCTCTGGATGCACTGGATGCGTCGGCTCCTGCGGGTGCTGCAAGCTCCCTAAAGCCAGGCTCTTCCTGCTCTGCCGACCCCGGCTCACGGCGGTGTGTTGCTTTCCAGGGACTCCTGCGCCCTTCTCTGGCCAGCACCCCTCAAGCCTTGGACGAGACGCTGCTTCCTCTGGTAAGGATGGAGTTGGTGCTTCAGGCTTGAGGAGCTGATGGGTCGTGTTGTTCCCTTGGGCTGGGGGATGGCGGAAGGGTCAGGCTGTGCCCTAGGAGCCAGCCCGGGTGGTAGCTACTGGGCTCCAGGGATGCAAAACCTTCCATTCCCCCAGGGATAGGGATGGTGGTAGGCCCGGTGCCAGCCCAGAGTGCGGCTGCAGAGACCTGAGCAACATTTGTGCTTCTCTAGGTTCGTCCACCCGCGCAAGATGGAAGGACAGAGCCTGCAAGCGGCACAAGGCATGGATCCATCATTTCTGCAATAAGTAACGGCCAGTGCCGCTGGCCCCCAGCCGTGGGGCTCCGGTCCAGAGCAGCCCTGAGGCGGCCCCGGAGTGACAGGGCCAGGCCCCGTTTCTGCTGCTAGCAAGAAGCCGTGCTGGGTGGCAGCGCCTGGCGTGGGACAGGGGAGCCCTTCCTGCTGGAAGAGTGCCCCAGCCAGGGCTCATGAGCCTCTGGGCATCTGTGCAGCGTTTCCATCCTGGCTCTATTTTGCCACGTTCCCTAAGGTGTAACCTTTTGCTCCAGCCCTGGCAGTCTCTCCCCTCCCTTCTTATGCCCTTTCCCATGTTGGGGTGCTCTGGAGCCACTGAGGAGTCCAGAGCTGACTGGGCTCCTCCCCCTCCCCAAATCCCAAATGTTTTTCATTTGTGGCTCATCCCCACCCGTTTGGGATTTACCAGCTCCCAGGAGCTGCGGTGCTGTCTCCCCTGACGCCGTTCAGCGGGAGCGGGGCAGAGGCTGCTGGAGCCAGGGGTCCCCTGAGAGCTGCTCTCCCCTGCCCCGGGGGTCCTCACCACCCCCAGGACGGCTTTGCTGCTGGGTCTTGTACTCGCTGAGCCTTGTGTGTGTTGGGTGCAGTCGAAATTACCCAAAACCCCACAAATACTGAAACGTTCTTTAATGAAATCACACTTTGTTTTTATATTGGAGCTGTTACAGCACCTCCTGCCTTCTAAACTGCAATGTACATGGCTGTGACTAAACCTGTTCTCTTTGGGTTTTTTTCTTCCCGAAGGAGGAGGACCACAGAGATGCCGAGTGGCCTTTTGGACAACCAGCGTCAAAACAGCGCCATCACTGATCATTTTTGAAGACTGTTCTTGTTCTCTCTTTGTTCTACAGTTGTTCTAATATTCTTGTTTAATATACTGTTCTTGTTCTTATACTCTAGTTGTTTTGGTTTTTTATTGTAGCTTTGTGTTGTTATACTGTTGTTCTGTTGTTGTAACAATAGTAAACTAGTATTTTTACCATAATTTTACTATCATTTTCTCATTTTTTTACTGTCAATATATAATTTCCACCCCTCCTACTACATCCCCCACCCCCTGTTTTTATGTCCCCCACTTAAAATAAACAGACTATGTTCACATCTGCCTTCCCTGTGTTTGATTTCTGGGCCAGGGCACAGGTGCCGCTTTCCAGCACCCTCTGCTTGAGCCATCCCTAAGTGTCCCCTCCGCCTGAAGATGCTCCCCATGGTGCTGCTGTACCCAGTCTGCAGAAGGTCAAGGACAGAGAAGTGCCTTGGCAACGGCAACCACAGGAGTCCTTACGCCTTGAGCAGAGGTGGATGGGCTGAACAAAGCACCTATGGTGCTCGCCAAGCAAAGGGATGGCAGTGGCATCCTCTGTATGGCTGGGAGAGGGCAGGTGGGGAAGCTGGCTGGGGGCAAGGTACAAGCAGGATGGGGCAGCCGCAGGCTGCACATGCCAGAGCTCCTGCCCTTGCCTGACCTTTTCCTTTCAGTCACCTGAAATAGTTCAGGGGATGGTTCCCCTGATGGTGCACCTGGGCTGTCCCCATGGCGATGGCTGTGTCCCCCTTCTTCTCCCATCCCTGCCATCATTAGGTGTGTGCTTGTGGCTTCTGCAGCCTATTGGCTCATTTTGCCACGTCAGGTGATGCCACCTTGGGCCGGCACTGCCACCCCTGCTTTCACCTGCTCCTTTGGTCCCCAGATAAATCTGGGCTGGGGACGTCCACTCTGGCTAATAGCCTCTTCCGGACAGACACGCGCAGAGGCCGCAAGCTGCTGAACGCTGAAGGTGAGGAGGGGAACAGTGCCAGGGATGGGGTATCCTGGCTGTGCGGGATTTGGCAGAGTCCCGTGCTGCTCGTGAAGGGGCAGGAGGAGCCCCCTTCCCAGCGGGCTCCTCCAGGTCTCCGATGTTGCCTGCAGCATGCTGCCAGCTGCCCACAGGTGCTGGGGATGGCTCCACAGCAGCAGGGACCCCCCCCCCCCCCCCCCGCCTGGCACAGGCACACTCACAGGGGCTTTGGCCTCACTGGGGAAACAAGAGCCAGCTGCTGGGACTCACAGAGAAGGCAGCTCCCCCCAGGAGCACAGGAAAATGAAGTGCTGTGGAGCATCTTCAAGGTGCAAGTGACTGGTATCATTTTCTCCTCTTTGTCGTCCCCCAAACCCCCCCAATAAGCATCACTGCATCTTTTGCTTTTTTAAGGAAAATGTATTTTTGTGAAAATAGACATGAGCATAATAAAATGGGATATTAAATAAAAACATACCATATCACCAACACTCTGGACGCTCTGCTGGCATCATCCACGTACCTCAGGGAACTGTCCTCAAAACAAGTACCCCACTGAAATATGCAAAGAAAGAAACGCGGAAAAGGATAGAAACCACATAGTACAAACACTCTCCGTGGCTTAGAAAGGGAGGTGTCTGAACTGAAGGAACACATCATCTCACACGAAAATAGCTGCAATCTCTCCATCCCCAGCTCTGTTTTCTAAATGCTCCAACTCAGGAGCAGCCCATTGAAACAGACAAAGAAAACTGTGACCAAGGCAGACACCAACCGCCCAAAAAAAAAAAAAAAAAAAGAGACAAATAATAAAGAACTAAATAAGGCGGAGTCCCCAGCCAGTGTGCAGTCAAGGTGAACCACAGGAGCAGCTTCCAGCAGCCCGCTCGCTCCACAGGCAGAGGTACGGACCCCTTCAGGGCATCGCTCCTCCCTGCACGGGAGTCCTAGTGCCGAACGGGACTGAGGCAGTGTGGGATGCTCCTAGGCACAGCTGCCTATCTACAGGTTGACAGAACAAATAACTCACTCCTCAGCCCAGAGACAGCAAAGAGGATTCACGGGAACAGAGAAGTGCAGATTTTCTGTGCAGGAAGTGAAGGAGTTGACACAACCTCCTCTGGACCAGAGAAATACCAGAGTGTGGAGGACAAGGGGTCTCTTCCTCCAGGGCCGGGGCTTTGCTGGGAAAAGCCATTCAGCAAACTTACAGCCGGAATGGAAGTCCGAATTTAAAGCATTTCCAGGCAAGCGGTGCACTGAGGGCTGCCACGGGCAGGACGCACTACTGTGGCGGTAGCTGTGTCCTAGAGCTGAGGCCTCGCACACCCCGGTGCCATGACGCTGTGCTCAGAGCCACTGCCACACTGGCTGGGCACCCACGGCCGCGCTCTCAGCAGAGATCGCAGCTCACAGACCCACTGAAGAGTTTTCTCTCTTCAACGTACATTTGTCCCCTGTGAAAACACTCGAGTCCCCTTATTGCAGGGGGCTTCTCCTGGATTGGCAGTCTCTGTGGGGACTGCACAGCCAATCTTTACAGAACAACAAATCTCTTATTAACTTCTCTTACGGGACCCGAGTGTTTTCAAGAGCTCTTTTCCTCTGAAGAAGAAGCCTCTCCTCTTTTCACTCTGAGTAGGTACATGACTGCCTCTGAGAACAGCCAGCAACGCCTGCTCTGGGCACTGCTCGCCCAGGCTCAAGGCAGCAGGGTGGTAGAGGAGGGGGAGTTGGTGAGCAGTTGCTCTGCTCAACACCTGGATTTAACTGAGTGGGAAAAAGAGAAAACAAGAGCAAAAGGCACAAATTAGAGCTGATGAAGGACATCACAGCAACAGACGCCTCATCCGGAGAGCCCTGCCTTCTCCCCACCAGCTGCCCCTCACCCTGCACGCCTCAACCCCTCTATGCTGCTGCAGACCCAGTTAGGAAGTTTCCAGGGGATTTAAACTTTCTTGTACCCATGCCCCAGACACTGCCTGAGCTCAGACATTCTGAAATGCCTTAACTTTGGGTCAGGGACACGAGAGCAGAAAAGCCCCACTGAGGACATGGTGAAAGATGCTGGAAAAGAAGCACCTCCTGAGAGCACAGGTGAATGGCTCCTGATGCATCCACGTATAGCTCCCTGGGCCAGGGGTCATGGTGGACTCCCAGCACACTCTGGGGCGGAGGGCAGGGCATTAAAAACAACCTCCTAAGAACAAGGGCTGTGCAAGACCTTCAGAACTTCAAGGACGCTCGCTAAGTTGGGAGGCTTCTGCAACGGTGGCCATGAAGAGAAATTCAACGCCTTGCAGGGCTTCTATCAGATCTCGTCACAGGAGAGGCAGAGAGCAAAGTCTGATGCTCTGCAGTGGCCCAAATAAGAGAGAAGCTCATGATGGAGGAGGACACGGAGAAGTCTTGGATCAAGTGGCATACAGCAAACGACATGTGCTCCTAAGTCACCCGAGCATTTGGGAATGTTAACTGGACTCCACAGTCCCAAGTAACAAGCTGTACACTGCTCCTTTTGGAAAGAGCTTTTAGAAATCAGAAAGCGAAGTGGCCCTGGGCTCAGTTTCCTCTTCACAAGATGCAAATGGCAGGTCAGTTCCAGCAGCAGCCTTCTCCCTATGATCTCCTCTCACTGGGTTTAGGTGCCTGGACAGGGACCATTTCTGACCTGCCAGGGCAAACTTTCTCAAGACGCTGCGAAGTTTAGCAGGGAAGAGGCTCTGGGTTTCTGAGGCCTTGGAGACCACTTGTCCCACTGCCTTCTCTTCCACACAGCTTTCACAAACCAGCGTCTTCCAAGCTCCCAGCTGTATATCTGTTGGTGTTACCCAAAACACGAGAGTGGCTGGAGCTGTTTCAAGGAAAAGCCTTCTTCAGGAAACCTTCTGCCCTCATCACCAATCTGCTTGCGTCCCGCCAAGTCGGGGAGTGCACCGACAGGGAAGACGCTAGTGACTGTAGGCGGAGGCCGCGGAGCCATGCGCGGGCGGAGCGAGCCCCTCCGCACCCGCTGCCAGCTCCTTTTGCTTTAAACCTAGCAGCGAGAGACACATGGAGCCGCACTGCGCGCCGGGTCGGGCCGGACTAGATTCCGTTCGCGGCCCAGGCAGGGTCCGCGCTCGACCGGCGGCGCGGGGACAAAGGGAAAGGGCAGGAGGGGGGGGCTGAGCTGCGGGGCTGCTCCCCGCCGCGGGCCCGGCGCCCCGGCTTTTCGCGTCCCCGAACCCAGGCTCCACAACTCCTCCTTCCCCGCACCCGTCCCGCCCTCTCGCCCCTGGCGCAGCCCCCTTGCTCCTCCGTGCAGGCTCCCCCCAGCAGCGGGCAGTCCCACTCGCCCTCCCCAGGGCAGGCCCTCCCCCCCACCCCTCCGCCCCTGTCCCGGTACTGCCCTGTCCTCTCCCCACCGTCAGGGCCTGCAGAGCCCCCGGCTCTCCTCCTCACAGCAAGGGAAGTAGCAGCCTCCCCCTCCCGGCCCGCCCTCCAGGGTACGGGAGGTGAAGGTGGGAGTGAGGAGGGGAGGCGGGACTGGGGCACCTCAGGTCCTCACAGGAAGGTGCGCGAACGGGGCGAGTCACCCCAGGCCCGAAGTACCGCTTCCAGACGGGCTCCGTCCTCCGCCGCTTCTCTGTGCCTGACAAACATCCCCCTCACACCAGAGACTTCTGCGCACACAACCCCCTCACCGCGGGGAGCGAAGCCGCGGCTCCCTTCTGCACTCTCCGCGCCGGGCAGAGCGAGCTGCAAGAGCGGCGCGGGGTGGCGGGGCGGCAGGCGAGCAGCGTCGTTGCCAAATCCCACTTCCCTGCCGGGACGGGGGCAGCGGAGGAAAGGCCTCCCCCGCCACGCCGGCCCTCCGCACCCCTACCCCGGCTGCCCTGGCAGCGACCGCCGGCAGGCTCTCCTCCCGCCCTCGGCCTAGTTCCCTCAGCTCCCGGCTGGGCAGCAGAGCTGCAGGGGAGCTACGATTTCCCCTTTCCTCCCGCGCACATACACCCCA